TTTAGAGCAAGACCAGCGGGGGGGGGTAGTTTTAGAGCTGGGATTTTGTCCTCTTCTGCCCACCCCCATGGAATATTTCGCCCAGCAAATGTTAAACGCGGGTCCTGTCGATTCACCCGGGCACATTCAGGACCCAGCGCCAGGCCCTGTGGGGTGCGTCTGCCCTGCCCGGTGACTCGAGATAAGAGGCGCCGTGGGAGCGAAGCACATTGCGTGTCTTGTATCGTCGCCGCGCCGAGTTCCGAAATAAAGCCCCGTGGTGACCCGTCCCGTACGCCTTGTAGAAGGAGGTTTACAGGGATGTCAGGAGAGCGAGCCTGTAATAATGGGCTTGCTGTGAAGACATGAGATGTGTCCAGAAATAGCGTTGCAGTGTAGACGTACCCTTAGGCTGTGTCTAGACTGGCAAGTTTTTCTGCAAAAGCAGCTGCTTTTGCGGAAAAACTTGCTAGCTGTCTACACTGGCCGTTTGAATTTCTGCAAGAACACTGACGATCTCGTGTAAGAAATCAGCGCTTCTTGCGGAAATACTATGCTGCTCCTGTTCGGGCAAAAGTCCTTTTGCGCAAAAGGGCTAGTGTAGACAGCTCAGATTGTTTTGCGCAAAAAAGCCCCAATCGCAAAAATGGCAATCGGGGCTTTTTTGCAGAAAAGCGTTTCTGGATTGGCACGGATGCTTTTCCGCAAAAAGTGCTTTTGTGGAAAAGCATCCATGCCAATCTAGATGCTCTTTTCCGCAAATGCTTTTAACAGAAAACTTTTCCGTTAAAAGCATTTGCGGAAAATCATGCCAGTCTAGATGTAGCCTTAGAGAATAACACAAATATGGAGAGACTCACAAAAACAACAAATAGTCTAACAGCACTTTAAAGACTAACAAAACATGTAGATGGTATCACAAGCTTTTGTGGGTACAACCCTCTGAGACTGTAAATTCAGAAACTGACTGTATATACTGGGGTTGGCAAATGCCTGTTACACGGGTTTCCTTACCATTTGGAAGGCCTACAGGATGCATCTACTTGGATGGTTCACAGGTTAAATCTTCTGCTAACAGCCTTGACAGGCTTTGTCACTTGTAAGTTAACTAGATCATTTCCAGAGGAAGCAGACCCTACAGAACAAAACAGATACAGTAATAGAGAAGAGGGGGAGTACCAAACCAGCCAGTAGCACAACGAAATGTCCTTGCAGAATAGAAACCTGCACAAGTAAATGAAGATGCAATTCTGAAGAAGAACAGAAGGGAATTGAAAGGGGAAGGCTAGCTATAGGACTACCTATAACAGTGCAGTAGCTATGGGCTATAGCAGGGGTGGGAGCCTTTTTTGGGTTATGGGCCATGGACCCACAGAAAAATCAGTCAGGGGCTACACACAAGTGAGAAGCAAAATCCCTCTCTGACATGGCCCTTGACCGAGAAGGAGAAAGATACTCTCCACTTTCCTTTCCCACACCATAGCCTAGAGGAGCCCAGCCTAGTAGATTTTGTGTTCTGCAGCCCCACAACAGGGTAGTGGGGAGGCTGAAGCACTGGTGTGTGCTCCCCAGTGCTGGGGGAGGGCCCTGAGCCTCGGGGTCTGGATCCAGGCGAGCCAGGGGCCACATCCAGCCCCTGGGCCTGAGATTCTTATGTCTTTGCCCCCATTTTAAGGACATTTTTAAACTCAATTTTCTTTTCTAATTGGAATTAAATGATATTGATGTATATTAAAATATTCAACATGGCTAAAAAATTTACACTGAAACTTCTGCCTTTTTATAAAAACAACAAGGGATCTGGTAGCACCTTAAAGAGACTCCTCATTCATTTTGCAGATGTAGAGTAACACAGCTACCCCTATGATTCTTGGCATTTTGTGTCATCAGTAACTTTTTAGGTAATTAAATTTAATTATCCATATTGTATTTGCTGGTCTTAGACATTGGAAGACTGCCGGTTTCTGTGATTGCTGGATTTGATGATGTTTTGTGTAGTGCACTACCATGTTGTACATAATAGGTTATTTTGAGGTAGCTTTTTTGAGTGTTTTGGTTGTTATAAGTACAATGGACTTTTCTGATACATGTACATAGTATATTAGATAATCAACATAGCAGAGATCAATTTCAAGTCAATTTCAAATGTATTAACTCTTAGTTCAGCTGCTCATCCTTAATAAAAAAACTTTTTAATTTTTAGTTTAAATTTTTAACCATTATTTAGAACAAAAACTTTCTGATTTATTTTTGGGGAAGAGGGTTGCGAAGGCATGTGTGATTGTGGCTCAACTGTTAGTGCAGCCTGTTGTTGTCTAGGATGTTAGACAAGAGGGCTGCGTCTAGACTGGCATGATTTCGTGCAAATACTTTTAACGGAAAAGTTTTTCCGTTAAAAGTATTTGCGCAAGACATCTTTTGCGCAAAAGCATCCGTGCCAGTGCAGACGCTCTCTTGTGCAAGAAAGCTCCGATGGCCATTTTAGCCATCGGGCTTTCTTGCGCAAGAAATTAACTTGCCTGTCTACACTGGCCCTCTTGCACAAGAATACTTGCGCAAGAGGGCTTATCCCAGAGCGGGAGTGTCAAAGTATTTGCACAAGAACCACTGATTTTGTACAGTACAAAGTCAGTGTTCTTGCGCAAATACTCATGGCCAGTCTAGACAGGCGGCAAGATTTTGTTGCGTAAAATCTTGCTAGACTAGACGCAGACGAGATGTGCACTGCAGTTGGTTATGAATCCTCTGGGGTAGTGGTCCTCAGTCTGTTTACCCCATGGACCGCACATGCAGCTGTCTGTGTGCTATGAGAGCCACATCCATACAGTGTAAATAGTACCTGTATGGCCCTGATGATGTCACATGGGCCGCAGCTGTGTGCTGATTGGACTGCTGAGTTGAGAACCACACCCCTGGGGATAAGTTGTAACTCATTAGTCTCAAGACCACATGCTGTCTTCTGTCAACATGTCTGATTCCCCTATTGACTTCAGTGTAAGTTGTGCTATAGATCAAAGAAAGACAATACATAGTCCCCTGAAATTGTTTAGATAGTTGAACTGGAAAATGGATATTTATTTTTGTTTCTGACTCGGCATACTGTGATCAGCAAACATATTTCAGGCACTCTGATAGCATGTTTGCATAATTCATGCATACAGATATTTTAAAATGGCATAGTGTCTTCTCAAAGTCTCAGGAGGGGTTGCTGTGTTAGTTTGTATCTGCAGAAACAACAAGGAGTCCTGTGGCACAAACAGATTTATTTGGGCACAAGCTTTCATGGATAAAACACACTTCAGCAGATGCATTGGATCAGATATAAAGCATCTGGCAAAGTGGTTTTTAGCCATCAAAGCTTATGCCCAAATAAATCCATTAGTCATTAAGGTGCCACAGGACTCATCGTTGTCTTCACAAAGTTAATCTCAGTACAGATGCTAAGCAAAGATGGTTTGTGTAGCCCACATAAGCTTTCAAGAGACATTTAACTTTACAGAAAATCCATCTTCTGGAATATTACTAAAAGATTAGCTTTATTATACGTATTCTGCAAGAGTGAATTCAATGGAAGTTGTAGCCATATTACTGCATACAGTAGAGATGTTAAAATGCGTTTATAAACATGTATCCGCTGAAAATTTCATTGTTTACATGGATACACATGGGGGGATAGTTGGCTCCCCACAAGCACTGGCTCCTGCCTACCCCTCTTCCCAGTGGCCTCTGATACAGAGGCAGCAGTGCAGGGGAGCAGGCAGCTCCATGGGAGCCAGTACACACAGGGAGCAAGTTTAAGAGCCGGTTGCCCGCACGTACTGGTTCTCGCTTGCCCCCCGTGCTGCTGCCTGTGTATCAGAGGGAGCTATACTAGACCCAGAAGGTCAAATTAAGGTACATTATTTATGTAGCTGAAGTCGACATACCTTAAGCTGGGCTTGGCGCCATCTCCACAATGGGAGATCAACAGGATCAAATGCTCCCATCGGGTTTCCTTACACTTTGTTGCCCTCAGTGTTTGATTTAGTGGGACTTTACAAGACCCACTAAATCGAATGCTGGAAGATTGATCTTCCACACATAAGTTTAGATGTGGCCTTACAATCTGGCGACAAGGATTTCCTGACATTGGGGGTTTTATTAATAAACCACAATTGAAAAGAATGTTTAAGCTTTTGAATTATATTTCAGATGGGAAATTGTTGTCAGATGATGTGACTCATTATGTTGTCCCTGACTGGAAGATTGTCCAAGATTACCTTGAGATCCTTGAGCTTCCAGAGCTAAAGGGGATTATTTTCATGCAAACAGCATGTCAAGCTGTGCAGCATCAAAGGGGTCGCAGGTATCTATGCTATAATAATTTACTATTTCTTTATATTTAAAATTTGTAGGAATAGAAATGGGAAAATGTATAAGCATGGAAACATGAGTTCACCAAGAGACTGATTATTTTTAATGTTTAAAAAATCCCTCAAGAAAGTTTATAATGTAATTGGGAGGGGGGAAATTGTAATGTTAGATATATGGGCCCATCATTTTCTCTTCCTCTTTCACAGGATAAGAACAATACTACAACTTGCATATTATTCAGCAGTCAGGTGGCTTCTTAGAAGCTAAAGACTGTACAACTGCAGATTTTGCATTTTACATGCATAATTGTAAAGCAATATAATTGTATACATTTTATGAAGGTGTTATTCATGGCTTATGTTTGTGTTTTGTACTGTGTATTTCTTTTATGTTATTATAAAAATGTACATTATATAGATTAAAGTGTAGATTTTTCTGTTTTTTTCTGAAATAGAAAATTATTGACTCAGACATATTTTGTTGCTTCTCTTACGCTCTTTTCTCTTTAAAAGAAGATTTAAATGCTGTGTATTACATAATCAGTTTCAAGTTTAGGTCAGGAAAATATATTTATTGGACATGCAAAGGTTAATAAGTTAATCTGTGCTCTAAATTCTGAGATTCCCAAAGGTTAATCAAGGTTTATCTAGGTCAGGGTTTCCCAACCTATGGTCGGGACCCAAATATGGGTCACCATTACATTTCAAAAGGGTCGCCAAGTGTCTGCCCAGGTGGCTCTGCCTCCCCTCTCCCCTCCGTTTTTGAATTGCTTTAGGACACCAAGTCTTCCTGAATTGTCAAAATGGGTCCCCATCTGGAAAGGGTTGGGAACTGCTAGATGAAGTTGGTCGTAAGAATATTTCCTGTGAATATTGCAAAGGTTAGCTTTCAAACATGCTTAATGGAAAAATGTCTTAACCCCTGATTGGTTGTAAGTAAATAACTATACGTATATTCGGGGGCGGGGGAGGAGGGGCTGGCTCTGGACCCTCCCAAAAGGGGCGGGGGCTCAGAGAGAGTTTCCCTGAGGAGGCTGAGGGCTAGTTTCTCCCTGTCAGAACTTTTGTGCTGCCCAGACTGTGTGGCCAGTGGTTCCGGCAGCAATATAAAAGAGCCTAGAGCTGCAGTAACGGTGACTGGGAGCCTTTTTAAATCGCTGGGCCCTGAAGCAGCTGTCCCTTCCTGTCGTCCCCTTTCCAGTACTTCTAGTTATCCCACCATTTGCCTTTTTAGCCCTGGAACATTCCCCTGGCTGTGCTTACGTTTTCTTGTGCGTGTCAAACATTTGGGGCATATGCTAGCATTATTTTATGCATAATATTTGGCCTTATGTCTTGAAGTGTACGTCTTTTAAGAATATCTTAATCTGGTTCCGTTTTAACGTGATGATGCCTGATTTGCTTCCAGGCAAACCACAAATCTTGTTGAAATGTTAAAATATTTGCATTGGAAATGTGAGTTAATTGGATCTCTGGAGACAAAGCATCTGCCGAGTAACTCCTATCTGAAAGTCAACTATCAGTTTTTTCATTGCTTTAATTACTTGTCTTGTAATCGGTTTTCTAAGAATAATTATGCTTAATTTTATTGAACATTTTGAAATAATGGACAGCAATTAGAGGTTTAATTTCTGATAACAGAGGGCGTCCCTACTATAAGTCGCCCCTGTATACATCCGTTCCACACTAAAGTAAATAACACTTGTAGGAACTCAGTCCTTCCATTCCCCGCTCTTAAGACACAAACACAAAAAATTGCCCAAATGGATGTCAGCCGCGTGAAAAATATTCCCTGCTTTAAGTTTCACTATAAGTCCAAATTTTTTGGAACATATCTTGGACTTATAGCAAGGACGGACTGCATGTTAGGTATTTTCCTTGAACAAAAATATAAACTACTTATTATTTGCAGGTATCATAAGTTTTCATGGTACTATAGTGTCCCCATCCCATTGATAATCCAATCTAAACTTCTAATTTAAGTGTAAACAACAGCTTTATTAAAAACCATCATCATTTTATATATAAATCACTGTTTAAAAAAATTAAGCACACACACACACACACACACACACACAGAGAAAGGCTGCCATCTTACCTGTTTTCAGGCAGACTTTGAAACACAAGGGCTGTGTCTAGACTTGCCAGCTGTCTACACTGGCCGCTTGAATTTCCGCAAGAACACTGACTTCCTACTGTCTGAAATCAGTGCTTCTTGTGGAAATACTATGCTGCTCCTGTTCGGGCAAATGTCCCTTTTGCGCAAAGCTTTTGTGCAAAAGGGCCAGTGTAGACAGCTCAGATTTGTTTTGCGCAAAAAAAGCCCCGATCGCAAAAGTGGCGATCGGGGCTTTTTTGTGGAAAAGCGCGTCTAGATTGGCATGGACGCTTTTCCACAAAAAGTGCTTTTGCGGAAAAGCGTCCGTGCCAATCTAGACGTTCTTTTCCGCAAATGCTTTTAACAGAAAACTTTTCCGTTAAAAGCATTTGCGGAAAATCATGCCAGTCTAGACACAGCCAAGGAGTACACTTAACTTTGTGAATGAAAGAGGCTGAAGACAGGCATTTTGTATTTGTTGTGCCATAGAATGACATGCAAAAAGTAACACAAATATTGAAAGGTAAATTAGACTTTTAAGAATTACAGGCAGTCCCCGAGTTACGCGGATCCAACTTATGTCGGATCCGCAGTTACGAACGGGGATTTTTTCACCCC